ACTGGGCGATGGGGACGGACTCAACTCCTCCTTCAACAACTTGACGGACATGGCGGTCACTCCCGACGGCTGCAACATCTTCGTCGTTGATTCCTGGTACGGTGTGCTTCGCTGGCTGCAGCTGGACTCACCCTGCTCCGCGGCTCGCACGGTGCTGACACTGGAAACTTTCCCAGGGCTGCGTATAGTCAGGCTCGGTCAATCCGGCAGCGACTACTACCTGTACATCGGGACGACCGCCGGCTCCGTGACGGAGCTGAAGATCAATGCCTCTCAGCTTCACCCTTGTGCTCCTACGCCGCCATCGCTAGCCGGGATCTCGGCGCCTTCGTCTAACCCGATCCCCGCCCCCACGCCYGATCCGAATGTCCCCTCGCTTMACTCGATCTCCCCCTTATCTGCCTCTTCTCCCACTCCCTCTTTCCGGTCTAGCGAGCCCTCTGCGGCTCCAACAAAGCCGGGGGGAACTCGCAGTCTAGCTTTAATCGTAGCTCTCCCGGTCTCTGTTCTCGCAGTCCTTGGCGCGGCCGCTTGCGCAAGTTTCCTCATGTTATACAGCAAGAGACGGCTCGGCGGGCTTAAAGACGTCCAGGTGACGACCGACTTGAGGACGAACGGCAGCGGCGGGTCCACGATTCCAACGACTGCTTCGTCGTCGTCGGCGGTAGCTGGGGGGAAAGCGGAGGGGCTTCATCCTTCGCAGGTAAAGCAGTTCTCGTTTGCAGCTCTGTCCTATTGCACTCAGAACTTCAGCGACGGCTATCGCATCGGACCCGGTGGGGCGTTTGGTAATGTCTACTGGGGTTCCATGGATGACGGCAAGGCGTTGGCGATCAAGGTCATGACAGGCGATCTGACAGAGGGGAAAAGGAGCATGTTTCTGGCGGAAGTGAACACGCTCAGCAGAGTCCATCACGCCAACCTCATCCGGCTCGTTGGATTCTGCCTAGAGGGCAAACGTTCGATCTTGGTCTATCCCTACTTTCCAGGGGGGAGCTTGTTCGCTCGTCTGCACGAGAGAGAGAAAGCCGTGCCGGGGAAAGCTTCGATTCCGCCGCTGACTCTGGTGGAGCGGATGTGCGTCGCCTTGCAGATCGCTAAGGGCCTAGCCTACCTTCACGAGGGTGCCGACCCGCCAGTCATCCATCGGGACATCAAGAGCAGCAACGTGCTGCTTGGCGATGGCTCCGGGGAGAAGTTGCACGTGGTGGTGGCGGACTTCGGCCTTGCGACTGTGGGAGAGAGAGTGTTCGGCACGGAGCTTGAGTCGGTGGTCAAGACCTCGCACATGGCGGGCACGTTCGGGTACATGGCGCCGGAGTACATGATGGGAGGAATTCTGTCGGAGAAGAACGACGTGTACGCTTTCGGCATTATCCTGCTGGAGCTGCTGACGGGCCGGAAGGCCGTGGCAAAGGCACCCTCTGGGGTGGGGTGGGAGACCCTATCGGACTGGGCTAAGCCGTTGCTTAAAAAACTACACGTCGTTGGTGACCAGATGGCGTACCAAATTCTGGACCCTTGCCTGCGTGATCAGGCGGCGGGACTCAGGTCCAGCCGTATGGTTAGCGAAACGCTGCATTTGGCCAGCGAGTGCATACGAGAGGACGATCAAACCCGGCCAACGATGTGCGGATTGGTGGAGAAGATAGGCAATCTCCTCAACGAAGCGCAGATCAACGTCAGGCAAACGAAGCACTGACCGTTTTCATTAATGGCGGGAAAGGTGAGTCATTGTTGACCGGAAGGAGAGAGAGATCTCATCATGAAGCTCATGACTGGCGAAGAAGTCATCCCAGAACGCGCGATGGCGGATCCCTCTCGTTAGTGGCAGGACGGAGAGGTAATCTGCCCGCATGAAGTGCAGGTCAACGTCAGTCAAACGAAGCGCTGATCACAGTGAGAGAACTCATAATGTAGCTGATGACTGGTGAAGAATCGATCCTACCGGTATGGTTGGTGGAGCAGATTGGCAATCTGCTCAATCTGCTCAATCTGCTCAATGAACTTGAAGCGCAGATCAACGGCTGGCAAAGGGAGCGCTGTTTGCAGTGCGAGAATTCATCATGAAGCTGAGGGACTGGCGAAGAAGTGATCCCATAATGGGTGATAGGGGTAATGGGGGGAAAGCGCACAAGTTTTMAGTCCTTTTTCTGTATACTTTTGGCTTTTAGCTTTTAGCTTTTAGTTTTAGCTCAGTTCAGGGGTCCTGGTCCCACCTACACGAATTYTCAACTCCTTGCCTTGGATTAGCAAGATCAACGGCCAGAAGTGAAGATCATTGAAGAATCAGCGTACGTGGGCCTTGGCCCCACAGGTCTGACTCAGGAAGAGCTGAGGACAAAAGGGGAACTTTTGGACACAGTGGACCCCTCCCTTTTGAACTTGGCCGATGATGCATGTCGCCTGTTCATAGGAGAGGTCGACAATTTTTTATTTTTTTTTTGGAAAGGCTGTCTTCTCCGCCTGGGGAACAGCTGTTTGTGACGATATATATATTTATTATTATTTTTTATTTATTTATTTTTGAAAAGCTATACTCTTCTCTCAATTTCACCTCACACTACCGTACCTACCACTACTCCTAATTGTAGGACCAATCCCTGTGCCTCCCCTCAGTCTCCCTCCCCTATAACGTCAGCAGACTCTGCTTAATGCAGATCGGTGGATCCAGTGGTTTATCTCTAGGTGGGGGGCGCCAAGCATGCCCAGGAAGGTACATGAGCCCAATGGGTATTGAGCCCACGACCTCCTGGTACATGAGCCCAATGGGTATTGAACCCACGACCTCCTGAATGCCACTTGCGAGCCTTACCAACTGAGTTAACCCACGACCTCCTGAATGCCACTTGCGAGCCTTACCAACTGAGTTAACCGACGACCTCCTGAATGCCACTTGCGAGCCTTACCAACTGAGTTAGCCCGCTGGATTATTTTTGTCTCTCACCTCACCATATTTAAACTGGCATTGTGCCATGTCATGGAACATATATTTTTCCCTTTCGCTACCTCCCACTACGCCAAAGGCTATACAGGGGATTTGTAAGGGACGCTGGGCCCGATTCCCAGCTTGTAAAAGAATTAAAACATAAAAAGTAAACTCATAGTTTTAATTAAAAAAAAAAAAACTTTTTTTTTTTTTTTTTTTTTTTTTTTTTTTTTTTTTTTTTTTTTTAATTGTGGTCCGATGCACCACGGATCAGATATTAAACTGATCAGAACAGATACTACACTTGATCTTGCCAAAAGGCCGAGAAAGGTATACTTTTCTTTATTTACAATGCTGGGGACCGGGCTTAGTGGGCCAGACTGTGGCTGTTTGGTCCCCCACCTGCAGCGAGAGAAAGGTCAGGTGTGAACCCATTGATTGTTACCCGTCCAGATTTGCGCAGCCTCTGATGGCTAGTTGCTACCCATAGGACCTCGCCCACATCTGTGTGGTTGGCCTTTTTTTTTTTTTTTTYYTCCTTTTTYTTTTTTTTTCCCTGTCAATTATCCACCTCGGAGAGGTTTCTCAGRACAACACGTTGATGCCCAAAGGTTTTCCGGTTTACTTGCTTGGTGCTCAGTGATATGCAATGGTGGGTATGTTGTTCAGGACTCGTATCATTTGTCGATGGCCTGTAGAACCTCTTTCCAGTTCTCGACCTGATGGAAAAAATTGCACGTAAGTGACGAGACTTGTGGTCTGATCACGCCATTTTACTGGGCCGCACTGTTGTTGGTTTCGCTGCCCAGAAACCAAGCCTATGTTTTTKTTTCCCTTTCTTTTTCAAAAACACTAAGCTATWTTCTTCTCTCAATTTCAGTTTTCACTACCTACCTACCACTACTCCTCAGCCTATACAGGGGACCCCTGCAAGCATAGCTACCTATCACAATTAAGGGGAGGCATGTTGCCCCCCCCCCCCCTAATCAGCGGTGGTCAGGGAGTAGGGTGGGCCGGCAAAGGCTTCACCAGGCTCTGTGTGATGTAATATTCTGGAATATCTGGAAACAGCGGAATACCAAAGTCTCAAATGGAAATTTTTTGTCCCATTATTTATGACCTTGTAACTGCAATTCTTAAGGAGCTYAGGCAGATTATATATTATTATATATTATAGCTCCTATTTTTTAAGAAAAAGGGCAACGGCCTTTAGATACTATCCTGGAACTGGCTCGCCCCAGGTTAATTCAGCTTGGCATTACAGCAATGGACCAATGGTTTGCACTTTATCAGTTTATGGGTGTACCAACTGCACTAGGCCCCTTTTTTCTTTTGTCTATTGTGACCGGTTGGACCCACTCGAGGGTGGAAAGCCTGAGCCTATGTTGCTATGTGTTCATATAGTCTGTAGACCATGCCCTCCCTTATGGAGGGCGACATKACCTTCTCTCAGGGGAGACACTAACCTTCTCTGAGCTCTTTTTTCCTTTGCTTTTTTGTAAAACCAACCCCAGCGTTCTAGGGAAGGTGGTGACCAACACAAATGCTATATTTCTTGATTGGCAGAGAGGAGGGAATGGCGCTTCATCATTGTGGCTGGAATGCGCGTTGGTTCGTGGTCCCAAATCTGGATTCTAAATTTCAGCTCGGAAGTTCTTGTGGGGACCACCTCAGGAGGTATACTGGCGCTGCACTTTTTGTACACGTAGCAGAGAAATATGCTGTTAGCAGAGAGCGGAGAGGRATGTGGTGTTTAGCTTCTTGCTATAGCTTTGGTATTATCACTATAGATCAAGTYTCAATAGCTTTTTTTGCTGTGCGGTTGGGCTYAAAGGGTGGCCCTCGTTTGTCCAGCTGAGACTTTGGCTCCTGATTCTCTGCAGAGGTGAGGCTCAGYCTGAGGGTGATCGGTCTGAGGCCACTCGACGTCTGGTTATTTTTGGCTATCTTCATTCTATGTACTGCCTTGGGCACTAGGCCCGTGATAAACTGTTCTTTTAACCCCCCCAAAAAAGGGACCTGAGAATTTGGCTCCTGAWTTTGCYGCAGAGGTGAGGCTCAGCCTGAGGCTGAGGGTCCGTGGCCAATTGACCTCTGCTTATTTTGGCTATCTTCATTCTATGTATGCCTTGGGCACTGGGCCTGTAATAAACTGTTCATTTTTTTTTTAAGTTGCTGAGTATTCTGCTCCTGATTTTCTGTGCTTATTTTTGGCTATCTTCATTCTRTGTACTGCCTTGGGCACKGGGCTTGTAATAAACTGTTCATTTTTAAAAAAAACAGGTTGCTGAGAATTCTGCTCTTTTTTTTACTAYTTTCAATAGGAAAATAGCCCCTTYGTAAGCTCTCTATACSGGCGGTGGTGAGAGAACCGCCAGAACACCCCTTATCTAATGAACCAGCGCTGTTCTGCACCCCCCCTGATTGTTGTTGCTATGTGTTGTCCCTTTTTAAACCCTTTTAAACCCTAAGCCCTCCCTSCACCCGTGCACACGACTCACGCAATCCCTCAACTTGAAGCCTAGCGCTATGCAATGAGATGTAACAGCAAGCAACACGATGCCGGATGATAATAGGGAAGATCAACATGAAGGAATATGGTGGTACCTGTGAGTAAGACAGGAATGAGATGAAGCGGTGAGGCTATGGGACGCTGGACCCGGTTTCCAGCAGGTGTTGCTCCCCACCAATAGATGGAGCTTTGTTTAAAAAAAAAAAAAAAAAAAAAAAGGGCGGTGAGGCATACAGCGGTGGGCTGAGGAGGGCAATTCTATAAGAGAGGCTGTGCCCCTATGCCCACACCGGTGTTTTGTGTCTCCGGGTGCGTAATCCAGTTCTGCGCCTCGAAAAGTATGCCCGATGGACAAGGTTAATGCCCAGCTACCTGAAGAGTAGAAACTGCCTCCCGTTTCCCAAGCCTCTGGATGTCTGTTGTTGCAGAGTGAGATCGGAGGCTTGGAGAACTGGAGTGGCCGACCATATACGGTCCTCCTTGTATTCCCTTGGGATGCAGAGCTCCTTTCCTCAATTAAGGGAGAAGGGGGGGGGGGGGGRGGRGGGGGGRGGGGAGGGAGATACTCATCTGGAGAATTCTGCACTCGATTTTCTGCAGAGACGAGGGTCGTCCTCAGGGGAAGGGTGTGAGGACACGTGACATCTGTGTGACGATTTATCTTCTGACTAGTGCTACTTTCTGCGCAATTGCGCTATGGGGGCTGGCCGAAGGGGCATCATGATCCAATTACACAAGTGGCCCCATTCTTTTCTTCTTTTCCTCTTTGTTTTGTGAAAACTTGGTCCCATGGTGGTTGGTATTTCGGACGCGCCTTAGCGAGCACAGAAACAACGGTTGACGCGGCCTCTTCATTGTTCTTTTGGGAACGGAGAAGGGAATTTTGGCGCGGTCATCGCGCAGGAAAGTCTTTTTATATTTTTGAACGCTGGGGGAAGAATGCGGGAGCAATCAGAATAAGGACTTTAATTATATTACTAGCTAAGCGCCCGCGGTGCGGGCGGTGCGGGCTATGCCCGCAAAATAAGAAATGTTGTAGGGAACCTGACACAGACCACTCGCATAGACTCAAACAGACTTAAAAAAAAAAAAAAAGTTAAATCACAGGGTAATAAAGAATAGCCCAAAATTGGCTACGAAGTCCGAGTTCAACTGATGATTTTTTTTTTTTTTTTTTTTCAATTTGATGAAGGATTTCGATGTAACCCTAGGGCAAAAGTTGTTCAGT